GTTTTGAATTTCCTGGTGAACTAGTCTTAGAATGGAAGGGTGATGTAGTAGCGCCTAGGGGTAGGTTTATTTCCTATCTTAAAGTCAGAAAGATGATCTCCAAGGGATATATCTATCACCTGGTTCGAGTTAAGGATGCAGATGCTCGGATCCCCACTCTCTAGTCGGTACCAATTGTAAATGAGTTTCCAGAAGTGTTTCCTGAAGATCTCCCTGGAATTCCTCCCGATAGAGAGATTGACTTTGGAATTGATCTACTTCCAAGCACTAAGCCAATATCTATTCCGCCTTACAGAATGACTCCAGCAGAGTTGAAAGAGTTAAAAGTCCAGTTGAAAGACCTTCTAGATAAGGGATTTATAAGGCCAAGTGTCTCACCTTGGGGCACACCGGTCTTGTTTGTCCGAAAGAAGGATGGGTCGTTGCGTATGTGCATTGACTATCGTCAGTTGAATAAAGTCACCATCAAGAACAAGTACCCTCTTCCCAGAATAGATGATTTATTTGATCAACTTCAGGGTGCCCAGTGTTATTCCAAGATTGACCTCAGATCGGGATACCATCAGTTGAAGGTTAAGGAAGTCGATATTCCAAAAATAGCTTTTAGGACTCGATATGGGCATTTTGAATTTTTGGTAATGTCATTCGGTTTAACGAATGCACCAGCAGCTTTCATGGACCTTATGAATAGGGTCTTCAAGCCTTATCTTGATTTGTTTGTTATCGTGTTTATTGATGACATCTTGATTTGTTCCCGTAGCGAGACTGACCGTGCCGAACATCTCAGAGTTGTGTTGCAGACACTGCAAGATCACAAGCTATATGCAAAATTTTCTATGTGTGAATTCTGGTTGAAATCAGTAGCGTTTTTGGGCCATGTCATTTCAGGGGAAGGCGTGAAGGTGGACTCTAAGAAAATAGAGGCAGTGAATAATTGGCCTAGACCCACCTCAATATCCGATATAAGAAGTTTCTTGGGTCTAGCAGGCTATTATAGGCGTTTCGTAGAGGGATTTTCTTCTATCTCGTCCCCTTTGACTAGATTAACTCAGAAGAAAGTCAAGTTTCAATGGTCGGACGCATGCGAGAAAAGTTTTGAGGAGTTAAAGAAGAGATTGACTTTAGCTCAAGTCCTGACACTACCAGAAGGAACCGAAGGGTTCGTTGTTTATTGTGATGCTTCAGGGGTTGGTCTTGGGTGTGTATTAATACAACACGGTAAAGTCATAGCCTACGCGTCGAGACAGCTTAAGGCTCACGAGAAGAATTATCCGACTCATGACCTTGAATTAGCAGCTGTGGTGTTTGCGCTTAAGATTTGGCGCCATTATTTGTATGGGGTACATGTTGACATTTTTACAGATCACAAGAGTCTCCAGTACATCTTCAAGCAAAGAGAATTAAATCTACGTCAGAGAAGGTGGCTCGAATTACTTAAGGATTACGATGTTGATATCCTCTATCATCCGGGGAAAGCAAATGTTGTAGTCGATGCTCTCAGTCGGCGTTCTATGGGGAGCTTAGCTCATGTTGAGGCAGACAAGCGAACTATGATAAAGGAAGTCCATCGCCTAGCAAATCTAGGAGTTCGACTTTTGGACTCCGAAGATGGTGGCATTGTTCTCCAAAACAGGGCTGAATCCTCCTTAGTAGCCGAAGTAAAAGAAAAACAGTTTAGTGATTCCTACTTATTGCAGCTGAAGGAAGGAATTCACAAACACAAGACTATGGCTTTTGAACAAGGGGAGATGATGGCACCGTACGAAGCTCTGTATAGGCGAAGGTGTAGATCACCAATTGGTTGGTTCGAAGTCGGAGAAGTGGAGTTGTTAGGACCTGATTTGGTCTATCAGGCCATGGAGAAAGTCAATTTAATACAAAGGCATTTGAAGACGGCTCAAAGTCGCCAAAAGTCCTATTCGGACGTACGACATAGAGACTTAGAGTTCCAAGTTGATGATTGGGTGTTTCTGAAAGTATCGCCCATGAAAGGCGTTATGAGATTTGGGAAGAAGGAGAAACTTAGTCCCCGCTATATTGGTCCATATAGAATCCTGCGAAGGATCGGACATGTGACTTTTGAGTTAGAATTGCCACAAGAACTAGATGATGTACACCTAGTGTTTCATGTGTCCATGTTGAAGAAATTCATGGGAGACTCGTCACTTGTGGTTCCTACGGAGATTATAGGGGTTAAGGACAACCTGTCTTATGAGGAAATTCCAGTGGCTATTCTTGACCGACAAATCCGCAAGCTCAGAACTAAGGAAATTGCTTCCGTAAAAGTGCTTTGGAGGAATCAAAAGGTTGAAGAGGCTACATTGGAAGTCGAGGGGGACATGAAGTCCAAATATCCCCATCTCTTTGAAGAGCAAAAGGAAAACGTGGAAGGTAATTAACCTTTCCATTCAGGTCTTATATTATAATCTCTATGTCCTTCAGTATTTACTCAGAGTAGTATTTAGTGATCACGTGCCCGTTCAGTTTGATATACATGTATTCATAATATTTCAGTATTCTCATATCTCCATAACACCCGTTTAATGACCATAGACAGCCGTAGTTGCAGTCAGGACCATCATTCGAGGACGAATGATCCCAAGGGGGAGATAATGTAACACCCCGTAAATTTGAATCCGTTGTGGATGTATTAAATGAGTATTCATGTGATAGTTATCAATTGGTTATGATAATAAGTGTACGAGGCATATCATAAGTGATTTGGGGTCCAAGGAGAGGCCTAAATCTAAGTCAAGTTTGAAAATTTCATGACAAACTAAAATTCCAAATGAGCACGCACAAGACCAAATTTTGCATGAGCATATCTACATTTATATAAAGTATTATGTGATTCACAATCCATCAAATGAAAGGTCTTTGTGTCTAGTTTCTAACGCTTCAAACCATTCATCATTTGGAAACTCCTACCAGAAGTTATGACCAAATTACCAAAAGCAGCGCAGACTTTTATACTACCGCGCCGCCCCATTGCGGCGCGGCTGTGTAAATTAACAGAGCACCTCCAAATTTCGTTTCTAAACACATTTTTCATTACCACGCCGTCCCATGCGTCGCCCCATGCGCCGCGGCTGTGCAAATCTGCGTTTTTTTGTCAACCCGACCCTATTTTGATATAAAACCTTCGGGAGTTATTTTCCCCACTTTATTTGGATGAATTTTAGGGTCTTCCTCCACCCTCTCAAGACCTCCAACCCCTCCCATCGTCAAGGTAAGTAATCCCCATTATCTTGCTATGAATTTCATCATTTATACACTGGTATTGATGAAATCTACACATAAAATACTTAGATCTTCAAGGGATTTCTTCAAGAACTCAAATGAGAGTTTTGCAAGATTTCTTCCAAAAAGCTAATCCTACACCCTTATACTTACATGTATGGATTTATTAAGGGAATATGAGTATGAATAAGTATTGGAACTCTTGGTATGATGATTGGAAACCATAAGTTCCCAATTTGATTACACAACTATTATAGAGATTGAAAGATGTTTATTTAATGGAACTTTGTTGGTTGAGTGTGGATGGATGGTCATATATGTGATTTTGGGAGTTATAAATTGGCTAATCATGATGGTGGGATAAATTGTTGATGAATGGTAGTAGTTAGATGAACTAATTATATGACGATGAGATGTAGAGATTTAGGCTTACAAGGTGTTTGATAATATGCCTAAATGGCTTAAGTTATGGAATTTGTTACTAATATTGGGTTCCACTGGATGTTGCTATTGTAGATTGAAGGTTCTTAGTATTGTGGATCATTGTAGTATCACTAAGGGGAGAAATTGAGGTATGTAAGGCTAACTCTTTACGTTTGGGAATATCTATGATTCTCCCTACGTCCCATTCATTATGACCATTACCAGTTTCCCTGAGAAAGTAACTATGCCTCGGTTCCCTGAATAGTAGTAGAACTTCTATTCTCTATATGGCATAGTCTCATAATCATTCGATATTCTATGAGTTTCAGTTATGATAAATCTACTTATTATGAATACTCATCTCAGTTTAATCCTATTCACTAATTCAGTATCATGTAACTTGGTATGACTCATTATTTCAGTATCATGTATTGTAATATGATTCTCAGTTCCTGATCTTATATTCTTGAATGTTGAACACCAACATTTGGGCCGGAGGCCGCAGTTTATGCTTTATGCATTTTGGACCTGAGGTCGCAGTTATGTATACGTATACTTGGGCCCGAGGCCGCAGTTGTGCATATATATATATATATACACACATACATACTGGGCCTGTGGCCGCAGTTTAATATTCAGTTCAACAGGTTGTTCATCATTCAGAAGAGGGAGTATTCACATCCTTACTTCCTTGTTTAGTTATCAGTTTATCAGCTAGCAGTTCAGTTTTAGTTTCAGTATTGACAGTTCTTTTGTTTAGCTATTTTACATACCAGTACAATTCAAATGTACTGACGTCCCTTTTGCCCGGGGCTTGTATCTCGCGATGCAGGTAACGATTTGCAGGCTGACGATTCTGCTTGCTAGGACATCTCGTATCAACTATTGGTAAGCCCCAGTCTTCCGGGGCCTTATCTCTCTTTTGTTTTAGTCATTATAGTATTTCAGTTAATAAGGTATACCGGGAACCCTGTCCCGGTAAACAATTAGCATTTTCAGTATTTTTAGAGGCTTCGCAGACTATAAACGAGTCAGTCAGATATTAGCAGGTTTTCATGTGTTAGCCTTGTCGGCTGCTTGTTTATACTTGCAGACCTTTCAGTATTTTCCGCATCTATGATATTTCAGTCAGACTCTTTAGTAGATTATTAGGTTTTATATTTCCCTCTAGCTCATAGTTACACCACATGTTGATTCAGCCAGCCAGTTGGTTCGCTCGGTCACATGTAGTCAGGCACCGAGTGCCGTGTTACGTCCAGGCCCAGGTCCGGGGCGTGACAATATGTAGACAGAACATCCAGTTTCAGCCTAGGGTCTCAAGAGCATTCAGTTTTACATTTATTCAACCCTTTTCAGCTTTTTACATTTATTCAACCCTTTTCAGCTTTACCAGGAAAGTACACTGGACATTATTACAGACACTCTCGTATCGAAGATAAGGGCAGTTCGGTGCACAAAGCATCCCTATTCACGCAGGGTCCGAGGAAATGCCGCACCCCAAGGGGTGTGATGTAGACAGCCTACCCTAATGCAGTATTAGTGGCTCATATTGAAGATGTAGACTAAAAACTCTAGGGTCACTGCTTACTGCAGTACAACTTTAGATGTAGAAAACAACTAGGACTTGATAGAACATCACAGATGGAGTTACTCATTCACACATCCGAATAGATGCAACAACCGAACTGTTGAAAGCTTTCGGACAAAGCCTTATTGATGATTTTCAAGATTGGCTATTCCTCGTAAGGAAGTCAAGCACGAGTTGATTGACCTCGTCAGGTAATTGTTCTTGAACAAAATGGGTTCCTTCTGGCAAGTTAGCCATCTGCAGATTAGGGACTAAACTTTTGAGTCCTCCACTTATGTAGTCTTTGACTCCTGGAAATTTGAGGAAATAATCCTTGTCACCCACAATAAACAGTGCCGGAATATGAACTCTTGGATCTTTAATGTTGGCTTGTTCAAGCAGTGACCTATTGCATGATGAAATTCATAGACAACCAGGAAAAAGAGAGAAAAAGAAGAGTTCAGTAGCTAATTAACCATCGAAGTAATTCCTATAACTCGAAGTTGATGTCATCTTACGAATGTGAACACACACAGTGATTGAAGTTAGCACTTCAGCTTAATATATAGTACTTATTTACTTTATTAAGTCTGCCTCTTCCTCACCACAGCCGTAAATGACATCAAAATAAAATCCTTTGTTGGTCTGCTACATATAATAACTGTGTAAAATAGAGAAAAAGCTGTCAAAAAAGGGACTTTACAGCTCAAATAGACATAGATTGTCGTTGTACCAATAGGGAACCTGCAATGCAGTCTGGAAACCAGATTTCTCATACAAAGCTCCATATATTTCCAGGTCTTCCTCAGAGAACCAAGGGGGTAGAGGGGTCGAAGGTTGCACAATGTCCATGATTTCCTGCTTTTCATTGGC